AAAAAAGTAAGTGATGGAAGAACAAAAACCTATTGAACATGATTTTCCTTGGTGGGGGAAATTGACCGAAAAAGAGAAAGCCAAGTATCGTAAGTTTCCTGCTTATATCCAATTACGMAATTACGTGGAATCGGRCGGAGACGAGACTCAATTGTCCCATTGCACGTTTCGGGAAATTGTCCGGGTTTGGAAAGGAACATTWGWCSYYACTCCACAYARYCTCTGGCGCRCATSCGTGGCTTAYGACGATTGGAAACTGRRYAAGATCGACGCCATTGTGTTGGGACCTTTAGAAGACAGTCGAGACACAGTCCAGCTGGCTAAACATCTCATCGAGTGGGACGTTTTGGATGACAACTTTCCHTATAATTTTTCTTCAGAAGAAGAAGAAGAAGAAGAAGAAGAAGAACGATGAAGAACCCGTGGTTGTTTGAAATGGACATGATGCAAATGTGGATGAACTTGTTTCTAGATGAACTTTTCGATTCTGTTATAGAATTTTCGGTAGACGTTCAAACTTTGGCATGTAAAAAATTGTTTTAAAAATAATAAAATCAGGAGATTTAAAAAAAAACGTGTGGTTCTTTTCAGATGAAGAAAAGGACGATAGACAATTATRCACTTCAGTTYGGYAAGAAAGCGATTCCTAAACATCTCTTCGAGGTTCCTTCAGAACTTTACGTGAAAGCGTACACCCGATGTTTGTACCTGAGTAAAGGACGTCGCGTGCAACACTTTTATCAAGAAGGAGAACCGTGTTATAGATGTTCCATCTGCAGAAAGGAAAATCGAAAATACCCGTGTGCCGTCTGTAATCAAAGAATGTGGAACCAACCTCGATTTATGGAACGTGCCTCTGTCACGAGAAAGGGAAATGGATTACTCTCAGCGAATTACTACGAAGAGGGTGAAGTTTATTGTACTTCGTGTGCTCAAAAGATGTGCCAGACGCATCCGCATTATCCCGTGATCACCGACCCCAAGCTTATCCACCAGGTCTGCAAATTGAATCAAATGGATTTCCCTCCTTACTGGGCTGTAGGACGTTGGCTCCTTAGGAATCACGTTTTCTACGACAAAGAAGGGGAAGACGGAAAGAACAACAACTTGTGGAACGCCATCTTGGATCCACCATCCTACGACGAACTCCCGGACCCCAAAGTGGTCGATAAAGTCGTCTTGAGCGACCCGGTCATTCATTGGGAACATGATGATGAACTAATGTGACTATAATAATATATTCATATAACAAAAAATGTAAAAAGGTGACTCTTTTTTTATGTCTCGCTTCAACCAGGTGAGATGTTCTCTTTTTCACACAAGCCACGTTATGCCTTCCAACATCTCTGTCATCCCAACGTCATCCCCAAGGAAGATTCCAACGTGGGGTTCTACATTTTACCCGACCCTTTGATGGAATACGAATTCCGCGACGCAAGACTCCTGGTGGACTACATGGACCGAGAAGACAAGAATAAGGCTGAATACTTTTACCAAAAAGCGGATTGGATGGCGGATAAATTAGATGACGTTTATTATGACATGGAAGAAGCGGAAGGCGATCCTCAGAAACGACGCACGTTTCTCACATCATTGAAACTCCAGTACAAATCTGTCTATTGTGAGTACTATCAAAAGAAAGTGGTGCACACGATCCGCATCGAATTTGAAAATGGGTTGGTCATTTTCGACGGGAGGATTGCTCTTGTCAGCGGACGCTATCCGAGGATTTTGTGTTTCAACGATTGAGACAAATTCTAAAAGTGATGCGAGAAGAATTTMTCATCTATTGCTACAAGACCCACAACTACCCCAGATGGAAAGAGATGAGCGAATTTGAGTTGATTGGCAATTCTTGTTTTTCCATAGTCTATGCATCCTTGTACCCACCACCGTACCCATCGCGTGCCTGGTTGAATCCCAATTTGAAAGACGCTGTTTGGCAGAACATGTCCGTCGACGACTATTTCTGGGATTTCACACGAGCGAAACGATGGGAGCCGGAACCACTTCCCATTTTTGGAAAAAAAACTTAAAAGCGTGTTTCCTTTTTTAGGTAATGGAAGGAACTGTTGAGGAACGTGCCAAAGTCAATCATATCTTACAYCAGAAAATTMATCAAGATATGGGGAGGTATCTGGAAGATCTCCAAGAGGTCATGAGGAAGTTTGACTCCATTTTTGAAGAAGAAGAGAAAAGAGAAAAGTTCATAAAGTGGAGAGTCGTTAAAGTTCTTGGTGTCTTTTGCGCCTTTTCTGAAGTGTGTGCCACGTTCTCGCAAGAGTTTCAAGAGTTTCTGAAACGCTCTGACACATCCGACAATGTCGAGACTGAAGCTCGAGAATAACTTTGTATATAAAAAAACACTTGAAGACCCATAAAATAGAGATTGTCTCTTTTATTTAGGTATGGACGGATTGGAGAAACGTAAGGCGATTTATAAGGAACACTTCAAGCGGTTGGAAGAGTTGAGCGAGGAACGAGCTAAAGTCTATGACATTTTCCATCAGATTATCTGTTGCATCCTTGATTACAGAAAAGAATTAGAAGAGGCTACCAAGAAGATTGAACCGACTCTCCAAGGACAAGCTCTCCAACAGGCGTTCGAAGAATGGAGGCAGTCTAGACTGGATCGTGCTTTCGGTGCTTTTAACCATCTTTTACAGTTTAYRWTCATAACGGACTTTGGGAAACTTCTGRACTATCCTGATGATAAATACCCTGTTGATATTTAATCATTTTTTGTAAAAAACTCTTTTGTTAAAAACTAATAAAAGGCGTTTGTTGAACCTTCTGTCTCTTTTATTTTTAGATGGATCAATACGAAGAGGAGATCAGTGATAGTCAGTTGATGAGTGGAGTGTGCGAAGACGAAGTGTATGAAGAAGAACTGACGGACAGTCAATTGGTGACGGGATGTCAGGGACTAGAATGTCACACTCCATGGGACTCCGACGTTTTCGATGCCTGTGTCGAAGAAGAAGATGAATCCCGTTATTGGTCCCCACCCATTCCTTTTCCTCGTTTTCCCTCCACACCTCAACCAGACTCTCCAGAGTATCGCCAGGAACAAAGCATGATGAGTTACCCCTCGTCACCCGAAGAAGCCACATCCCCCAAACGTCCACGTCTGGACGAAGAATACGAAGAATACGAAGAAGGAGAGGACTACGATCGGAACATGGAGTTTTTGTGGAATCAATTGGTAGCTCCTACCCCTGAATTTCCCCCTTTGGATACCTCTGGGTTTCAGGAACCTCTCCAGTCGTTGTTTGACGATCTTTTGGGAAACCAATGTGGTGGAGGAAGTGTTCAAGACGACACGTTCCAGGTGGAAAAAGTCATGGAAAAAAATTGTAAGAAATTTCACACCACGTCCAAAGAATACAAAGTGCAGGTGCAACTTCGTCCGCGAGACGATGCTAAAGAAGCCGTGATGGCCACTTTGGGAGTGATCGTGCGCATCGTGGATCACGTGAAACAAGACAACGACGTCAAAGAAACCGATCAACTCCGATTGATCATTGACGGTAAAGATCTGGATTATCCCATCCAAATGCCTTTCATGCCTTCKGACCAACTGACGCCCGATCGCGTTTTGCGCAATTTGGAAGCCGTGGTCCAATCTAAACGCGCTTTTTTCCTCAACGGGGAAATGACCGTCCTAGTGTACCACGTCCGGAATCTCGAGGGACGGGGTCTTTCCAAAATGAAACGGTTCAACACGCGCAAAGCTCAAGAACCCCTGCCCTGGATCAAGACCCTCGCGTCGCGCGGATGGGTAGTGGTGTGCGGAGGAATGCAAGAAGCTGCCGCTCATTTCTTACAYTGGCGAGAACACGGTACCAARCACAACAAAGACTCCAAGGCCTTTCAAGCTTCCGTTCAGTGGGTCGAGAGTCAAGTCTACCCCACAGCAGCCGAAGCACTTCCCGTTCTGTTGGAACGGTTAAACAACGTTCTACGACGCGAAAAAGGATTCCGCGTGGTGGTCTTGGATTGGGAAAATGACGACCGTCCCTTTTTTGTGGGTGAAGGCGACGAAGACGAAATCATGTTTTTGTACAAAATGGAAGGAAGTTTCCATCTCTTGCTCCACCCGGCCAAGATTCGACACGTGGATGCCCATCAAGGCTTTTGTCGCCAATGTTTTTCTTTTTTACTCGCCTCGCAAATCTGTCCATGTCTGCGGCGAGAAGAGAGGGGACCCCTTGTCCCAGGTGTCGGGAGGATGTRAAAACCGCAGCGTGCGTTGCGACGCCATTCAAGCCGAAGATTTAGTCAAAACAAAAACATCTGTTGTGAAGATCGCGGATTCGGGTGGAGGTGGGTGCGCGTTTCGCGCTATTGCGACAGCCATTTGGCTGGTGCAACATCCCGATTGTCGTTTCAGCGACATGCCTAAAATTGTGTTGAAAGACGAATCCGAAACGTTGTGTCGACGTGCCGGATTGACGTGGGGACCGTGCGGATTGAAAGAACTGACTCAATTGCAAAACGTCTTGAAAGAGGACGGTATCCGTCTGCACGTCTACTACCATCATTTGCAATGCGTGGGATTCGCCGGCCCGTGGGAAGAGTTTGCGCCTCGAGGACCTCGCCACGACATCTATCTATTTCATCACGACGACCATTACGACGTGATCCGTAGCATGACGGGGTTTCTGGGACGGAGTTATTACTGCTTCAAGTGCGATGTCGGGTACTGTCACAAAACGAGACACAAGTGTCATCCCATCTGTCGATGTTGTTATTTYGACAAAGATCAATGCGTGCCGGACGAGGAAGAGGTCAAGACGTGGACCACGTGCGATCGGTGCCATCGCGTTTTCAAAGGCGAACGATGTTATGCCAATCACCTTCAAGCACTTCCTCACCGTGACAAGAAACACACGCTGGTCTACAGCACGTGCGAGCGGTATCAAAAGTGTCCCAGTTGTGCCAAAGTGATCGATGTTCTAAATAAGAAAAAGAACGCCTTCCGTCAGCCAGATCAACGTAACCTCGACGACCACGTGTGCGGTGAAGTGTACTGTCCCTACTGTAAGAAGACGGGACCCAAGCACTGGTGTTACGTTCAACCTGTCACGGATCAAAAGTGCGGAGAATGCGGAGAATGGGTCACGTTTCCTCA